TTTGATGACATTTGTGCTACATTTGCGCTAAATATCATGTCTTATTATAACCTACAACCTATTGCATGCCTTTTGACGTCTTTTTTTCTGTACATATCCTATCATCTTGTCTTTCTGACATTATTGATATGTATCATGTTGCAAAGCATAAAAGGAAGTGAAGAGATAAATAAAACAAGTAAAACACACATATATTATGTGGTTCAACCACTATGACCTACATCAATGGCACAAAGAGCCCAAAGGGCTTCATCACTATTATAACACTCTCTCAAATCATATACAATACAATAGTGGAGGCTCCTTTATATAGAAGAAGAAATTATGAGAATGGAAAGAATTAGAAAATAGGAAACAAGGAAGATTTTTCTCCACTATTCCTCTAGTAACGCCAAATCTTCAATAAAATGAAACAACATCAATTACTGAAAGATTTTCCTCCACTTATTTCTCAATTAAATCTTCAATACTCCCCCTCAAGTTGGAGCATGAATGCCCAACTTGCCATAGAGATGACGAGTAACAACAAGTGTGAATGATGAAGAGAGAAGAGAGAAGACAAAGAACAATGCTACCAAACACACCGACAGTCGAACAAGTCAACAAAAAACTGTCGAAGACAAGGCAAAGGCGAGGACAATGCTACCGAACACACCGGCAGCCCAAACAAGTTGATAAAAACTGCCAAAGACACGTCAAAGGCGAAGAACATTACTGCTGAACAAACCGGCAACCCAAACAAGTCACAAATAGCACCGAGAAACCCTTAGGAACATTTTAGATGTTAAGGGAATACCCCAAAATAGGGGTCCGAACCTAGGAAGAGAAATTAGGCTCTGATACCATATTGCAAAGCATAAAACGGAAGCGAAGAGATAAATAAAACAAGTAGAACACGCATATATTACATAGTTCAGCCACTATGGCCTACATCCACGACACAAAGAGCCCAAAGGACTACATCACTATTATAATACTCTCTCAAATCATATACAGTACAATGGTGGAGGCTCCTTTATATAGGAGAAGAAATTATGAGAATGGAAAGAATTAGAAAATAGGAAACAAGGAGGATTTTTCTCCACTATTCCTCTAGTAACACCAAATCTTCAATATATCACTACTCTGTTTTGGTTGCTCAATTATTTAACTCATGCAGAATTATTTATGTATTCTTCACTTCACCTCGTCCTCTCTCACAACGCGACATTTGTGTTTAACTGGTTTGATTCTCGAACCCTTCATTTTGTGGGTATCTTGTTGCATAAACTATCCTAAGTTACCATTCTCCTTATCTCATTAAATATATGTATATAAACATATGGATGCAATTCTTGTAGTAGTTACAAATGTCATGTCATGAGAGAGGACAAACTACGCCCAAATCTCAAAGATGAAAACAAGGCCTCTAGCGAATTCTGGCTACGGGTAAACCTCGGAGATGAAATATTGGACAATGCTCTTAGGTCAAGAGAGGAAGACCTCGGAGACAAGATCCATCCCTCTCATGGGACTGATTAGCGCCGAATATTGCATATTCAAGTGCCCGTAATTGCATAGCTTAGTCCATTCTCATATTAATAATGTTTACTTTATAGGTGTTTTTGTGTTTTTGTCCATTTTCAGGATTTCTCCACAAAACTAAAAAAAATTAAGGATTTATGGGCTTTTGAAGAACAAATCATTTGGGGCTTACTTGACAAAGTCTTACAAAGAAAGATGGCCCAATATCTCATGGACACATTCAACATTGCAATCAGGAAGAAGGTTGAATCCATTGGCCCAAGTTCAATGTCAAGCATATTTTGGCCCATGAAGAAGCATGGAGTAATTCTAGCACCTGAAAGGCAGCCCTGCGCACTTGTTTTGTAATTGCCATAACTCTCAGCTCCGAACTCCAAATGACGAACCGTTTGATTCTGTGGAAAGATAACTTAGAGCCTTATGTTTTGTATGTTTTAATGGAAGTCTAATTCCCAAGTTTCAGAGGTCAAAAATAGAGAGCAAGAAGACACCAACATGCTGCCAGCCCGAATTCAGCATTGCACACCTACGGTAAAAAGGGCATAACTCTTTGGTTAAAAATCCAATTGATGCAAAGTTTGATTATGTGGAAAACTAATTCATAACCCTAGATACTTCATGTTTTAATGGAAGTCAAATTCGCACATTTGAGGGGTCAAAAATTAGAGTCCAATCATCTCATCTCAGCCACTTCATCTAGAAGATGTAGCAGCCCATGTGAAAGAAGTGTGAAAGGAAGAAGTTGGCAGCCAAAATGGAAGACTAATAATAGGCAAAGGAGATGAGAAAAGTGTGCTGGCAGCAAATGAAGATACAAGAAAAGGCTGGAAAGGAAAAGTCTAGAAGAAACTTGAAGAAACTGGAAGGTGCCAATGATTGACCAGTCAAAAATGGTGGAAAATGTTGGAGCCTTATTGTTGAAGTGAAAGCTTATGGACTAAGAAAAGATGCATATGGAAGGCTACTAAAGGAGGTGGAAGAAGCCTATAAATATAGGTGTAAAGGAGGAGAAAAGAATAGAAGGGGGGAGTGCAGAGGAAGAGAGCTCTGGATGGAGCTTGAGACAGAAAGCTACAAAGAGTTTGTTTTATTGTTTTGTTTTTCTTTTAGTATGTATAATTAGTTTTTATCTAAGGTTGAGGAGAAACTCCATTAATGCAATAATTTCTAGTGTTTTTATTTATTCAATTCACACTCTAATGATTTTAATGTCTATAATTCTTGCTTCAAATGATTATTGAATTTTATTGCTTTTACCATTAATATCATGTATTTTTGGTAGTTAGATAATCTCTATGTTCAATTGATCAATGCTTGGTTTATAAATTTTGAAAGTAAAATCATTTGATATTATGTTTTCCATTGAAATTGGATACATATGATGCTTAGAATTATTTCTTTGATCCTATGTCTTTCATGTTTTGGATACATATTATTCTTAAGATTTACTCATTCAAGCAAAGAAGAATTTACCTTTGATAAAATATTTTAATTAAGTTTTATTGCTAAATCTTGAGAGAGCAATAGATTGATTTCTAGATTGCTACTCTAAATTTGGGAATTAATGAATGATACTTTGAAATTGTGAATTTAATGGTAGTGGAATCCGACACCTTAGATATTTTTCAATCTCTTTATTTTGATTTGATTATTGCATTCCTAGTACTACAAATCCATTCTTCAAATCAAATTGGTTAAATAGGTTAGATTTAAATTAGTTTTGATTCACATTAGTTCTTCTACAAAGCATTCCCTTGGGTTCTACCTCACACTTGCATTTTCTACACTACAATAGATTCGTGGCGCTTGTGAGTTACATTTTATTTTAAACATCAGGGACCCTGGGAGTTCTGGCTTGGTGGCAATGGTCTGAGGATTCGCTGGAGGAATCAACATTGCCCTCCAGCCTGTCACAGAGGAAGAAGAGGAGTATCTCTCAAAAAGGAAGGAACAAAGACCCAACCCCTCTATGAGAATAGAGGACCCTAATTTAATGAGTCAATCACAATAATTGCAGGCCTCTTTTCAATCTGACAGGCTAACCTTGAGCCACAAGAATGTCCTACCTAATCTCCCTAGACCTCCCTAATCAGCCCGTTTCACTTCTCCATTTAGCCAGTGGTTTTATTCATTGCATGGAGGTCTTTGCCTGTTGTCAAAAGTACCATATAAGGATGTTTGGTGCTCCATTGAGGAGAATTCAACAGCACATAAAACAGGGCCCTTCTAGCCTCAACGAGAGATCACACAGAATAGCTACTGGCTGCCTTCTTTACTCCTCTTCGTGGTCCCTCTGTGACAGCTCAGGTTTCCACCAGTCCAATACACTTACGGTGGGCCTATTGTGCAAGTGTGACTCCTCATCATAGTGAACATCATACAAACACTTATTTAACAAGTATATTAATGTACATTTAAATATGTTAATGGAGTTACAGACTCTATTGTCTAGCAAGGAAAAAGAGAAACATGAAAGATAAATGGTTGCCTTGATGTTAATTATGCTGGTAAATTACATGCAAATCACTAGCATAAATATCAACTACTAAATACATGTCCCTGCAGCAAGAAATAAGGAGCAGTGCTATTGTCCAAAGTACATAAGTAAATTACATAGAGCATATGGTTGACACAGATATATAAGGATGTGCTACACCAATAAATGCATTTGTGCTATGGCAACTATCTTAACTTCAGGCCAAAAATATTATATTCTAGACAAGAACTAAGTATCACACATACATACAGGAAGTGAAAAAATGAACGGGCTTGGCATGTTCACCAGAGGACTCAATTATACCAAGCTTTGTAATGTTGAAGAAGGAACTTGGTAAAAATTGAAAACGGTTCTAAAGACTACATGGAAAGTAGGAAACTAAAGCAACACTAACTTCAAAATGAATCCTAAGCTGACATAACCAAAAAGATTTCTAGACACAAATGACACCGTCTCCCAACCCACACCCACCCTTCCAAGAAAGCTAATGAGAAACAAAAAGGAAAGGAAAAATTTGCTATTTATCCCCTTCAAAGCTTAAAGTTTGTAGTCAGTTAGAGCAACTATAGAAATGGCCTCAAGCTCAACTTGCATGTATAAAGTATTTCAGAAGTTGTTATCTAGTGTTAGAAAAGTAAATGAGTTTTAAACTAGTGCTAGCGAGCAGTAATGAAGTCGAGTGTAAGTTCATTTTATAGTGAGATATGTGTTGTGTGAGCACACACGTGGAGTTAATCCGCCTCTGGGCATAAAAAGGTTTAAACATTATGGATTTTCTTCCCTCCAAACAAATGTTTGCAGGATGTCCAAGTGTGACCTTACACAAGGCATTACAATATGAAGCATTATAGAGATAGGCAATAGGCTATAATCAAGGCAATAAGGCTATAACTAGACAACCTACAAGTTTGCAGACAACAGTAATAAATGAAACCACTTTTTAGAAGGAACTATTATAACCAGAGTATTCATCTACTACCTTCCAACTTTCTCATGGTTTTACTCATCAGCTTCATTTCTTGTACTTGCGCATCTAACAGATTCATAAGTTCCTCAAAGTATCTCTTTTCTGTGAAAAAAAAAAAAAAAACGTCATCAATCATGAAGGTTATTAGTCCTTGCTAAAAAATCAAAATAAAATAGGAAAGAAACTAGAAAAATAAAGCTGAAGAATTTTGGTGGAAATGATAATAAAAGAATAGCTTAAGTCCACCAAACCCACGCTCAGTTTTTGACATTAACATTTCCTGGCTTGCTTGTGCCACATCAGCAGCTGCAGCTGCAGCAGCTTTTGCAGCAGCTGTTGCTTCTTCTTCCAAAGTTGGTGTTGCATTGGTTTTCTTTGTCAGGACATCTTCTTCCAATACAACCTTGCAAATCCAGGACTTCAACCTAGGAACAATAGCATTCTGACACCAGGAATATGCCATAGTGTGATTGCACATAAAATATCATACTAATTTGAAAAGAAAAACACTATGGTATGAAGCTACATTTAAAAACGAATTGTACCGATGTAATATACAATGTCAAAAACAGAACAAGATATTGAAGGTTAGACATTGACCTATCTAACTCTCGGCATTAAATGAAGTGATAGTAAATAAGTCCTCCGTCAATACCTTAAGAAGTATGGCTGTTCCTGGACCAGAAACAGCCAGTATTCCTACAGCATAAAAAGCATGTGACCAGTTGAATCTGGACTGGGTCAAGCTGCTAACTTTAGAAATGACACCACCAGGAGCCGCTGCTGCTGGCTGCGGATTTTGAGTTGGGGCTTGTGACTGAATATTTGATGATGACTTCAACCGCCCATCTATTGTCAATATGACAGCAGATAGGAATTGTCAATAACCAGTTACTCTAAAAGCTTAAACTGATGTAAATATTATCAATGTGAGGAACAACCAAACTATGGCCAAATCCAAAAGCCATTGAACCATTTACACCAACAGAAAATCCCATCTGACATAATATTTATTACCTTGATTTTGAGCAGCTGGCTGCACATTTGAAACAGCCGGGGTTGGATCCTGTAAGTAACATAAAATGTCAATCCCACAAACACACACACATGCCCACTAGAAAAGTCTGAACACGTCTATGATGATTCGACGGTGTGGGTTTATAACGAATGCGAAAAACCAAAAGAAAAACTTGCTTACAGGAACACGACGGAAAGCTTCATCAATCTCCTCCTTAGTGAGGCCTTTTCTCTCAAGGAAAGACCGTCTATAGATGATCGGTGATCCCCTTACTTTTGGGTGTGAAAGAAACTTTACAGCATTCTGCACTTGTTCTTCGCGTATTGGTTCTGAGTTCACAAACACAGATGTAGTCAAGTTGTCTTCCGTAGCCACTGCCTTAGCATCATGCTGCTCCTCAATTATTGGCTGTACAACTTCCGAAGCTGTAGTTAAGAAAGAGCATTAACAATCTGAAATAGTAGAGGTAGTGACTTATTCATAAAACTACTTCTTTTGTAGCTTAAATTGTCAACCATCTTCAACAATTCATTCACGACTAAGTAGCAATAAAAAAGAGCTGTAACAGAAGGAAAAATAAAAAATAAAAAGTAAAAAATTGAATTTGGTACGAATTATACGACAGGCGGACAAATGACAAGAAATCTTCTTTCCTGAATAGAAAATTTCCTAATTGAAAAGCATGGTGACTTGAAGATGGAAGTCATCAAATGGTAATGCCGGTAAAATATACAAAAAACATTACAAAATCATAAAAAGAGTATTAGAACATTCCAGAATATACACATCAAAGTAAAAAGCCAAGCAAATATATTGAAAGGGTAATAGCAGAAACGACAGCTTATATAACATCTGAAATAAGAAACAGAAATTGGTTGCATAACCACGTTTAGCTTCACTAACACGTTTTTGGATTAACTAAGGTCCATATAATATACTGGGAAGCCCATACAATCAGTTAGTGCATTAGTTGATTACTGGCTCCATGCAGGCCTCCATACTTCACACGGAGTATTGATTTACATATGACCAAGACTCCAAGAGTAAGGCGACTAAAAACCTTCCCTCGTAAGTTTGGAAGAAATTTAAAAATCCTTTTCTTCTCTGGCTAAGTGATTTGCACCATCATTTGGAGAGAAATGCATCAGTTTAAATACATAAATGGATCAGCTTTCAGCTAAGCTTTACCAATCTCAATCAATTTCTTGATAAAATTATATTTAATAATGAACCGATCAACTCCTAAAATTATTTTCAACAGCATTGCTGTCTCTATCAAAATCTAACTACCTCACTGCTCCTTTTAAAAACTACAGGAAAATGATGCAATTTGTGCAAAATTGTGGAATTTCAACAACAGTAAGCTGTATAAATACATCACTTTCACGGGAAAAATACCCAAATCATGAAATGATCAGCCCCAAACTATAAAGTAGAAACTCGTTTTTGCATATTCTATACCGCTTCAAATAAACTAAATAAAGGCAAATACTCCATTCCATTGCAGAGAAATCCAGCAAATTAGAATACTGGAGTTCACTTCGTTCACTATTTGGTAATAAGAGAACGGTTTGGCTCAGTTGATTCGAGTTTTTCAGTTTCTCCGAAAACCAACTTCGTGCTTTTACATTTTGCGTCTTTCCCAGAAACCAAACAGAGTATTAGAATCCAAATTTCAGTAAATGACGAGAGCTACCACGGAAGATAAAATTGGAACCCATGACACGAGAAAGGAAGAGAAAATTGACCTGGGTTTTGGGTATTTTCGTCCGTCTGGCTTGGAGGAGCAGCTGATTGAGTCGCCATAGTCAACCTCCTTGGATTGAATTTCCCAAAAAAATAAATAAATAAAAACGCAGAGAAAATGAAAGAAAATCAGTCTCTCGAAGTTCACAAAGAAACTGAATGTATGGTGGTATTATTAGCCATTGAAGAGCTTACCGATGCCGATGTCAGAGGTTGGGATTGTGAAACGAGCAAAGGGTAGAGGGCATTAAAGGTCCCGTGTTGGGTAGCTAAAGACGCCAAAATCGCTGCAGATTATGAGCTCAGTGGCAGTTCTATATCTAGATATATATAAAAGCCTATCCATCCATCCATGCATGGTGGTTCTTGAGAAATACTACCAACATTGTTTTGTCTCCATCAATCTAGAAGGATACAATTTTTTTAATTAAAAGATGAAAAGACTCAAACCTCTTCGCTTTTATGTTAATACTCTAGTAGTGAGGGTAACTTTGAACAGTAATATATTATTTTTTTTTATAAAATTAAAAAAATAAATAAATAATATTGATTAATAATATTTTTGTTAATTTAATAAACTTATTTTAGGGTTAATTTCAGTTACACCAGATTTTGTTTAATATCACCTTGAAATATCTTTTCGCTTTTATGTTAATACTCTAGTAGTGAGGGTAACTTTGAACAGTAATATATTATTTTTTTTTATAAAATTAAAAAAATAAATAAATAATATTGATTAATAATATTTTTGTTAATTTAATAAACTTATTTTAGGGTTAATTTCAGTTACACCAAATTTTGTTTAATATCACCTTGAAATATCTTTTGAAAATTATTATCACTCATATTGTAAATGTTTGTTCCGTTTTTTACTTACATCCCATTACTTATTGACCTCTGACAGTACTTAAAATTACTCAAGTACCCTTTGTCGTTGTCAAACCTAAAAATTTAGATTAAAAGACTAAACTATCCTAAAATACTTTGCAAATTTACAATTATATATCTATATATATATATAATATGAATATATATGGAAAAAACTATAATACAAAAATGCCCTCACTAAAATCTGCCACCTCATAAACATCATGAGTGATTATGTAATTTTCATCATGGGTAATTATGTAATTTTAAAAGCCAATCACTCCCTTCTCTTACGCGCATCTCTCTATATCTTCACATTGTCTGCAAATCTAAAAGAAACATGACGCCGCCATGCCCAGACCACGCCATCGATGGATACGACGAGAACTATGGCTAGAGGAGAGGTTGTGGAGATCAAACGAAGAGGCACAACATCACGAGAAGAGAAGAAGGTGAACTGTCACCATCGGGATCTGATACCGGAGGTCCAATTGTGCCGATGGCGTTGGAGAAGAGATTGTAGCCGTTTGAAATTGTTTCTCTATTGATGAAGAAATAGATTCAACGAAATTTTGCGAAATTGCGATCATTAAGGGATTTCATGCAAAAAAAATTGGGAAAAAAAAAAATAGTGAGTTGCAGGAGGGGTGGTGGAGTCAGCCGAGGAGAGCAAGCTAATTTTCGGTCCCCGGTGATGATCATCATCTTCCATAGTAGATAGAGAAAGAGAATCTGGGTGTGAACTACTTATATATTTATATTGTCGTTGATTGCAAGGTGGGGTGAGAATGCTTTGTATTTGGGTGTGTTTGTGTATTTATATGTGTATACAAACATACCAAAATACAAAGATGTGGGATAGAAGAATGATTTTAGTGGTGGCTTTGGAGTAGGGATGGTGGTGGCGGCGCCGCTGCTGGTTATAGGGTGGGGATGGTGGTGGCAAGATGGGGATGGTGGTGCTCCTAGTGGTGGTTGTTTATGATAGAGAAAGAGAGATTTTAGCTGCCGATGGTGGTGGCAGCGGAGCCGGTGTGAGGGGGTGGTAGTGGCTCCGTCAACTATGGTTATGATGGTGGGAATGGTTGTTGCAGATAAAACCTTGTCGGAATTGTGGCTGGTCTTCGTTGGAGTAATCAATGTTCTTAACCCGAGTAGTGAATTTATTCCATTTTATCGTAACAATTTGCTTGTTGCCGCTGTTGTCTGATTTGCAGTGCTCGCCGTCGTTGCTGGAAGGCCACCAAGCCTAGATATATTGTATATGCATATATTTTAGAGAGAAAAATTAATGGGCAATTTTGTCTTTTTAAGTTTGTTAATATTTTGGTTTAATATGAATTTAAAAAATAGGGTAAAATAGTCTTTTGACAGGTTTTTTTTTTTTTAACGGTTTTCGAAATATATTTCTAGGTGGTATTTGGTCAAATCTGAGGGGGTATCACTAAAATTAACTCCTTATTTTATTATTCACATTTTGAAATCATAGCAAAATAACCTTTTTAAATTTCTTTCTCAATATACATAACAAAATAATCATTTTTTAATAATTATTCATCATTTATTACGCAGTTAGTTCTTCAAATATTTCAAATAAAAAGGAAATCCTCTAGGGTGACAATTGTAATTTGCAATAATAGTAAAAGTTAATAATTTTTTACTTCTTATATTTATTTCATTTTTTGATGGTTTATATCCATTAGGGAGACCAAATCACATTAAGACTTACATTTAGAATATCAACATGAAAAGCTAGCATCAACCCTAAAGTTAGAGAAATAATAAATAAAAAAGTAAATTACACTCGCATTGGTTACACATTGTGGTCAAAAATAGGCCTAATATTATCGTGTGTGTGTGAGAGTTCAATCAATCTTTTTGTTATGATAAATTTGTCCTTCCCTTTTTTAAAACCCTTCTTAACTATTATCCACATTTCCTTAATGGATTTGCTCTTCCCATACCAACTCTTCCATGGCTCCAACCTTCTCCTACTAATTTATTTATTTATTATTTTATTATAATTATTATTATTATTATTTTTAACGGCCTTTCTATTTTTGTTTACCTAATTGTAACAAAACAGGAAGTTACACCCTACAGCTCAGATTTTATTTGTTGGACCAAGAGAAGGGGGGCTGAATTGGTCAAATTAAAATCCTTCTTCTTTACAACAAAGATCAAATATGGCAACAAATAAAATGAACACAAGATATACAAGAAAAACCCTTTCAATAGGAAAAAACCTTAGTTCTTGGTATCAGCCAGTGTAAGCTCCACTAGTTGTATGCAAGTAGTTACACACTCAGTTGTATCACACTCTGCACACACCCTTGTACAAGTTGAAACACTATCTTTCACAACCTCTACACACATACTAGCTCAATACAGTGCTCACAAAGCACTCCCCTTGTCCTAAGCACCCTAATTTGGGCCTGCAAGCTCTCACAACTCACCAAATACATATAGAAGTATGAATATCAACACTATTCATGCATACACAAAAGATAAGAGTGGTTTTGCAAGTCAAAACAACAATATGTAGCCTCTAGAACCCCTTCTGCTAAAACTAGGGTTTGAGGGGAAAATTTGCAAATTCGTGTCTCCAAAATTCCGAGATCTATCCCACAGCCTTATATCACCATTACAAACATGGTCAGATGATAAATAAGATAAGTATAGCATGTGAATCACAATACAACATCAATAAGGCCTTGACAACAGCTTCACAATGAAGAACTAGGATTTTGGTAGTTTAAAACCAAAGGTGACCAAAGTTCTGTCCAAAAACTAACTTCGGCAGCCTTGATTCATCAAAATAAACTTGATAGCATGTAGATCAAACATTGTATAGCAAGTTATAATCAATCTATATATGAATCACAAGGCTAAACTAAAAAACAGCTTAAATCACAGGTCTAGAAGATGAAATTCATTTGCAAGTATAACTCAAGAATAAGTGCTCAACAAATGTAAATAGCTCAAATATACCTGCCTCAGCCTTGACTTAGCACTATAGCTATAATACTCCTAATTTTTAAAGGATAGTTTTGGTATTATTTTTAATGTTTTAATTGCATTTTATTTATTTACTTGATTATTTGGCTATTTGATTACATGTTTAATTGAGTTTGTTAATTAAATGTTTTATTTGTTTAAATATTTTATTTACTTAAATGTTTTATTTGACTTGACTGATTAATTGAAAGTATGTGCTTGAATGTTATTTGAATTAGTTGATTCAATTGATGTGTTGTTTATTTGGTATTAATTGTAGATTAAATAATTAAATATTTATTTTATTTTAGTTTAGTTTATGGATATGGTTAGTAATAATGGGCCAACCAATTGGGTCCCATGGATTACTTGGATAGGAGGTTTAATTGGTATAGATAATTACCCATTGATAGTTTTATATGTGTGTGTGTGTGTAAGGAAAGTAATTTATTACTTCATATTATTGTAACTTAGTATTAATAATCTGATGTATATATTTTGTATATTTATATAATAAGAATATACATAGATTATATACATAACATATTTTTGGTTACATTTTTAATATGTTAATTGTATTATTTTCCCATGGATAGTTGAATATGTGTGTATATATATATATATATAAGGAAGATAATTTATTAATTAATATTATGGTAACATTGGTATTAATAAATAATCTGATGTATATATTTTATATATTTATATAATAAGGATATACATAGATTATATACGTAACATATTTTTAATAACCTTTTTAATATTTTAATTATATTATTTTCTTTTATTAAGTTGACTTAGTTAGGAAAAATGATTAGAGTTATTATTTAGCCTATAAATATATAACATAGGTTTGTAGAAGGGGACTAAAATATATACGTAATATAATTTTAGAGGAAAAAGGTAGAGAATTTAGAGAGAGAAAGAAGAAAGAAAAAGGAAGAGAAAGAGGAAGAAAAAGGCTAGGGTTTTAATCAAAATCCTTAAGGCAAGTTCTTTTCTTCTTTTCTCTTTTGATTCAGATTATATACATGTTAAATTAGTTCCAAGATTAATTAATTGAACCTATTTGCATGATTAAAAATGAAATTATAGTGTATATATATATGTAATGAGTTTTTGTATATGCTTGGTAATTTGGACAAATTGATGCATGATATGTATTATACAATGTTTAAATAATGTTTATGAATTGTGTTGGAATTATTGGGACATTCTGGGAGGTTAAATTAGAGATTTGAAGCTCTAACAATGGAGGTTCGTAGGAGGAAGTTTGCTGAAGAAGGAGAAAAACAGCGCAGGATTCGGCCGACCGATTCAGGGCTTTGGTCGACCGAAGTAGGGCTATTAGCCGAACGGTATGGGTCATCGGTTGACCGATAGAGCTGTATCAGCAGACCGGAATAGGATTTCGGTCTACCAATTCAGTATTGGAGTTTGGGTTTTGTTTGGGATTTTGCCTACTGTTCACAATACCTTATTAAATTTGTTTTAATGATTTTTAAATTATTAAATTAGATTTATGG